TGATAACATTTCTATGTGAATGGTCTAGTGTTTGGTAAATTGCTCCCTCTACTGGTAAAAGTTGGAAATATAAATGAATCTAAATGATTAATTCATAAAGAGACAAAAAAGTTTTCTCAGAGCTAATATATCCAATTTAAAATCAAAGGGTAACATACTTATTCCATGGCTTATATTAAAGACTTGGTTAGAGAATTACAAGTGATTGAAATATCAGGAAAGTAACTTAGTTCATTTTAAATTTAAAATATGGTAGGACGACATTGCTACATTTCCTTAAGACACAATAAAAATGCTGGAGCTAAAATTAGATACCATTGCTTTGCCAACAACTGAAAAAAATAGGTTTAAAGCAACCTACGAAATTAATGCTTGGAGAAGTTGCAAAGGTTCTGGTTTAAAGAACAGACTAGAGGCTGACGTTACAAAGCGGAAGCTTTTGAAGTGGGTTTGGGATGTAAAACGCTGCACTGATTTTTTTACTTAAAGTCACTATTTGTATTTTCTAAGATTCAGATTTTTCGAATTAAGTCTAAATAATATTTTTTTCTAAGATTATACACTATTACTTGGCTTTATGAAAAATAACATAAAGCAAGCTGGTCATTGTCTGCTTTATCAGTTGTTTTGGAGATCTTCGGCTTTTCTCCCCCACTTTAAGGTTTGAACCTAGAGGTTAAGGAAGAGGACCACATACACATACACCTGCCCTTGCTGAGTCTGGCATCAGTCAAGAAACATGTGGTGGTGCCATTTTGGTGCTGGATTGTGTTTTGCTACCAGAGCTACAGAGATAAATACAACAAACTTCTTTTCCTGAAAGAGTTCATTTTCTGATAAAAGGGAGAGATAATAAGCTACCTAATAGAAGATGCTGAGGAATACCTGTGCTAGGGCATTCTGGACGTAGAGGAGCAACACCCAGCCAGTAGCTTTCTTCTGTATTTTAGTGATAAGACTGCCTTTCCGGGTAGCATTTTATGTTTTCATGATCACATGTGATCTCTTGTTCTCAATTATACTTCTAGATTGAGGCAAGTAATATTAAAAATGTTAAAGATGTGTTTTGGGAGGGCATATAGGTGTGTCTTTTAGGAAGAGTAGGGTGACTAGAGCTGTTTAAAAAAGTGTGAACATATAGCATGCTGGAAAATAGCATGCTGAAGACCTACCTGGAAAAAGCATTTTAGTTTTCCTGTCTTTGATCATGCCCTTTCTTCATTATTTCTTCATGTTTGTGCAAAATTTTGTTTTGATTTTGTTTCCTTTTGTTTTAAAGTTAAATATCTTTCTTTTTCATAACCAGCAAGGTGTGCCAGATTCACCCATAGAACTCTTGCAAGTTTACCATACTCTTGGATTCCCCCACCCCGGTTCTGTTCTTTAGAACTGGGGTGGAGCTCTGATATCTTTTTTTGTTTTTAAACTTCATGAGTAATTCTGCTAAAGTCATTCTCAAAATCAAACCTTTGAAAAAGAATTTCTGGCCTTAAGAAATGTTACATGCTGAAGGTTCCTATAAATAGTGAGTGGTGTCAACTGGTTTCCATACTGTTCATCAATAATCTCTTAAAAACTGTGAAAGACATGTATCCGTAGGATAAATAAACATTTATTTACATTGTTACATTATCTCTGTGGGAGTGATACGTATTAGTTTTCTGTTTTGGAGTGTTCTTCTTTTCCTGGAATGAGGAATAACACTGAAGAACTTTTGAGCCCCTGTTAGTTTTTCCAGTCTGGATTTAGCAGCACTGAAACAAATTTGGAAACAACACCTTCTCCAACTCCTGTCCTCGAAGGCAGAAGAAAACCTAAGTAAAAGCAACAAAAGGGTCATTTCAGAGGGATATAAGTACTGACTTAATTGTTGATAAAGGAAGTAAAAATAGAACTTGTTTCATTCTAAACATCATTAAGATATTTAAACTGTTTATTCCTTAAGCTGAATTTAAGATATGATGATCTGGAGAAAACTGCTGCTATTGTCTAGAATTGCTTCATGAAATGTAGTAACTTTTCACAAGGAAGATCTTATTTCCTTCAAGTTTCTTTGTACTTATGATTCCAAACAAACGTTTGAAAGCAAGGCTGAACATGATCAGCAGTCTGCTAAGACTTACAGACCCTACTTTAAAATATGTGCTTTGTAAAATGAAAGTATCTGTCTTATAAAAGATGTGGAGACCGAAATGGATCATAAGAGATCAGCACATACATGAAATGTAGTGAAAGCAGCTCTGAGTCTATTTTTTAAAATTTTTTTTAATTTTTTTTCCTTTTTTTTTTTTTCCATTTATTTTTATTAGTTGGAGGCTAATTACTTTACAACATTGCAGTGGTTTTTGTCATACATTGAAATGAATTAGCCATGGAGTTACATGTATTCCCCATCCCGGTCCCCCCTCCCACCTCCCTCTCCACCCGATCCCTCTGGGTCTTCCCAGTGCACCAGGCCTGAGCACTTGTCTGAGTCTGTATTTTAGAGAGCTATTGTGCCTAGTTCTTTTGACCATTACAACAGTATTGTTAAAAGGCTGGTAAAGGAGGTTTGGATTTTTCTTATTTTGCAGTAAGCTTGCTGTTAATTCCCAGCTTCTTTGCGGCCATGAAGATTAACAAATGTTTAGTTCCTAGAATTGGAATTAAAAATCTGTACTTACTAGGTAGCAATGTGATATTCAAAGACAGTGTTCCTGAGACTTTTATATACCATAGTAGCAGTCTTAATTCAGTTCTATAATGTATGTGAGCTTGAAAAATCTTAAGGAAATGGGTTTATAGGGGGAATTAAAACAGCCTTTCTGCCAGGATTGTTAAGAGTGGATGGATATCTTGAATAGTCTAAACGTCATTACCTTCTGTTTTTAATTCTTTGCTTCATTAAAGTGACTGTATTAATAAAATTTGATGATATAAAAATACTAGTTTGTGTTCCTTTTCCTGTTGGTAGACATATGGTTTGTTTCTGGTTTTGTGCTAAATTTTTTTTTATAAAAACACAATACCATTTCAAGAATTATTGAATATTTTCTCCTAATTTACATATATTAGAGTTTCTCTAAGGGTGTATACCAAAGGTGAATTAACTGGGTTATGAAGTGCATGTACCTCCAGTTTTTCTAGAGAATGCCAAATTATCTTCCAGTGTAGTTATGAGTTTAGCTTCCACCTGAGATGCTGTTTCTATTACTCTTTATCAGTATTTGGTATTTTTAGACTTTTGGACATTTTTCTCAATATGAATGTAAAAGAATATTCTTTTGCTTTTTAACATATATTTTCCTGATTATCAGTGAAGTTGAGGATCTTTTGTTTTTTAAGCCATTCAGGTTTTTCTGTGAATTGTCTTTTTGTGTCTTTTTTTTGTGTCTTTCATTCCTTCTTCTATTGTTTGTGTTTCTTTAATTTGTAGAAATTCCTTAAAAGTATTTTGGTTACCAGTCCTTTGGGTGTAATTATTTTGCTCTTTGTCATTTTCTGCATCCTCACATCAAAGTTATTTTTCTGTATTTTCCTCTACTATTTCTTAAGACTTAAATGTATATACAAAAGTTAAATCTGCCTTAAATTGGTTTTGTTTTAAATTTTTAAGTTTTTATGTCTGACATGGCATGTCACTATGTTCTTTTTCTTAAAGAGTTTTGTAGCTTTTACTAACCCATACCTCTTCAAATGCTACCAAGAATGCTGTTGGGATTTTAATTTCAGTTACCTTGAATCTATGTAAATAATTTGCAATGACAACTTTCAAATTATGATAATTTTTCATAAATATACATTTTTTTGTGTACATTGAAACACAGGTTGGGATTTTGTGGGAGGTTTTTTGGTTTTGGTGGGGTTTTTTGGCTATTAAATAATCTTTTTTAGTGCTGATAACCTTTAAATGATACAAATAGAGATGGTTCATTGCCTTATATATTTAATTCCAGAAGAGGAGTATGTAATTCCAAAACTCAGTTGTTAGGTATAAAAGTTCAGAGTAGGTGTCTTCTCTTATTTATCACATCCATAGTCCGTCCTGGGGTTGCTCACCATCACGCCTATTCTGATTTTCATATTTAAGTAGACTGTTTTTTGTGGTGATGAACATTTTCACATTTATGATGCATATAAATTAATTCTTGGAGAATTGTATTGTCCCTTTATATCTTAATGGAACCTTATTTGGAAGTGTAGTCAATACAGGACAGTACCGTGGAGGTATTGAGAGTTCGGTTCCAGACTACAACAGTGAAGCAAGTATCACAATAAAACAAGTCAAATGAATATTTTGACTTCCCGGTGTATGTAAACATTACATTTGCATTATACTGTAGTCTGTTAAGTGTGCAATAATAGCATTATGACTAAAATCTGTGATAACCTCTAGAGGGGTTGGGATGGGGGTGGGTGGGAGGGAAGCTCAAGAGGGAGGGGGGATGTATGTATATAGTATATCTATGGTTGATTCACAGTGGTGTACAGCAGGAACAACACTCTTGTAAAGCAATTATATTCTAGTTTTTAAAAATACGTGCCTTAGTTTAAAAAGAATGCTGCTGGGATAATGTTGCAGGTAGACTTGCAATACAGAGTTGCTGTAGAAACCTTCGATTATTTGGAGGGGATGAAAAAGGCAGTAACTGCAAAATGCAATAAAACAAGGTGTGCTTGTACATGTTTTTGAGACAGCATTACTAATAAGCATAGTGGTGCTTTGAACCACAGATACAGGTATGGTATGATATGGTAGTGTCACTGCCTTCCCTGGTGACTTCAGGCAAGTTACATAGTCTTTTTTTGTACAGTTTTGTCATCTGTGAAATCAGAGTGTGAAGTAGCTACCTCATATCTAGTCAGCCAACTATTTGCTGAGCCCACTCTGTGCTACCTTGGGAATGAGATTACTTGAGTTAGGTGCCTGGCACATACATGGATCCTGCTTGTTTGATGTTGGTTCCAATTTCCAGTATTCAAGTCATGTTTTTCAGCCTTATTGTCTCCTTTGTCTTTAGAATCTACATCAGGAGACAAGTCTGTATCACACTCTTGCACAACTCCTTCCACATCTTCAGCCTCTGGACTGAACCCCACGTCTGCACCTCCAGCATCCGCTTCAGCAATTCCTGTCTCTCCTGTTCCACAGTCACCAATACCTCCATTACTTCAGGACCCAAATCTGCTTAGACAGTTGCTTCCTGCTTTGCAAGCCACGCTGCAACTTAATAATTCTAATGTGGACATATCCAAAATAAATGAAGGTAAATTTTCATGGTAACAGTTTCTCAGAAGTTCATTTGCAGTGTGCAGAGTTACATAATTAGTAAAATCCCCAGTATAGGAATATACTTTGTTTCATTTTGAAATTTACATTTGAACTGCATGCTTCAAAACATATGATTGAATTAGCAATGCTTTAATTTTCTGTGTATTCTCCAAGACTTGTTTGTGCACCAGAGATAATTGTTCTGTTAACTTAATGTTTTTGGTGAAAAAAATTTTTTTTTTCAGATGAAAACAGAAAAATAGAGTATTTGCTAAAATTGATAGAAAACACTTAGTCTGTAACATATTTCAAAAAGCCTCCTGTATATTGGTAAATAATTATTTGAAGTATTTTAAATATGCTATTTACTAGGACTAAGCTAAGAGTAGGAATTCAGGTAGTTCTTGAACTACTTAAACATCAATGAGAAGGGAAATAATGGATCATGTGGATCATGTTATGCTGTTTTTCCTAGTTAAATTGCATTGTTAATTCCAATTTTGCTTTTCAGTATACTACTAAAGTATTTAGACAGCCACCTCAAAGAAGTCTGAGTAAAAATGGATATAAACCATTCAGATTGAAGTATTAAATCTTACGAACATTGCAAAATTTTGTTTGCATACATTCTCATGTAATATATTTAACACTACTGTTAAGTGGTTAAGTTCTTCCTGTATCATAAAAATGGAGCTATCTCAGGCTAGTTGGTCATTAATCTTCCAGTCTTATTCTTCTCAACATTTCTGTATTCTCTGTTTGATAGGTAAAGATTTTACTAGGCAAAGTAGGACTTTTAAACAGTTTGAAGAAACCATAGCCTAAGAAAATGTTGATAATAAAATATCTTATGCTCCAAAAGTAGTATTTCAAAGTATCCAGCTTTTTAATATCCATTTTTGAAAGATTTTTGAGGGTCGGTGTTGACGTAGGATTTGAGTGCTCAGCTTATCTAGTAAAGCAGTTGCATGAAACAGCTATTTATCCCATTAATTACAAGTAATGTACTAAGCACCTTGCCTATGTATGGTTAGGTTTCTGGTATAGTCAGAAGTGCCAGTGAATACTCTGCTGATTTAAATGTCTTAAGGAGTTTTCTTTTAATTGAACACCTAAATTTTACTGGAAAGGAAACTCTACTGTTTTATTGTATAAGCCAATTCATTTTCTTTGCTTCTGCCTCAGATCATTCCCCATGTCTTGACCTGTTGTATTACTCCTGTTTTCTAGACTCAATTTGGGAATTCTAGTATGAAACAATTTTTTTCTGGGTTCTTATTTGAATTTTCGTTTTTACTAATACTACATATGCTGCTGTGTTTTTATTTGAATTTAAGATGTATTGTGTTTCTAGTTCTTACAGCAGCTGTGACACAAGCCTCATTGCAGTCTATAATTCACAAGTTTCTTACTGCTGGACCATCTGCTTTCAACATAACTTCTCTGATTTCTCAAGCTGCTCAGCTCTCCACACAAGGTATTTATGTACTTTTAAGATACCTCTAGAGTTGTGTCTTTAAGGCAGGCAGGTGGGATTAATAACAGATTTCTTTTAATCTTTGAAGAAAAAGTAGCTATGATAATTTTATTTTGATTTTTTAATGCTGCTTTATACAAGTAGTATTTTTTTTGCTGCTTTATACAAGTAGTATTTTTTTTTTTACCTTTTTAGATGAAACAGGCTTTTCACATTTATCTTATGCTGTTGCCATCAGATCTGTAATATATATATTTAATTCAGCATGTAAGTCCTTAATGAGGTATCCTGCTCCAAAGCTAAATAAACTATGGTATGCTCTCAATCTTTGTGAAACATTGAATGTGTTTTCAGAGTTAAACTTTGGTTCCAGTTGGTGTTAGATGATTTTTGATCAGAGGATGTGGAAATGCTTTAGTCCTGCCTTGAGTTAGCCAGCCCTCTTCTCTGTGCAGGTGTCTAGTGGAGAAGACACCAAGGAGCAGACAGGAAATAAAAGAGTCACTTGATTTATTATCCCTGAGTCCCAGTGCAGAAAGCTGCTCAAGTGAGCAGGACTGCTGATCAACCAGTGCAGTAAAAAGACTCTTGAGAGACCCCTTGGGTAACCTCATGGGGTGGGAATCTGAGGGGGACTAGAAGTAAAGCTAAAGATCACGATGCTTTCCTGGTGAGACTGTTCAGACTTACAATGGGTGCTGCATTGGGTGGCTAGTCTCTGATAGGTCATGTGGTCATTGTGGCCCCAGTGGGTAGAGATGCTGACTTTTTCAGATAGGTGTTCTCTTTGAGGTTATGGGGCATGTGCAGAGTTGTAAAGATCTGCCCCACGTCAATTACAGAAGTTTCTGGTTTATTTTACTCTTTGCAGCCCAACCATCCAATCAGTCTCCAATGTCTTTAACATCTGACGCATCATCCCCACGATCATATGTGTCTCCAAGGATAAGCACACCCCAGACAAACACAGTCCCCATCAAACCTTTGATCAGTACTCCTCCTGTTTCGTCACAGCCAAAGGTAAGTTCTGACAAAACGTGGTCCACTGGAGAAGGGAATGGCAAACCACTTCAGTATTCTTGCCTTGAGAAGCCCATAAACAGTATGAAAAGGCAAAAAGATAATGACACTGAAAAATGAACTCCCCAGATTGATAGGTGCCCAATATACTATTGGAGAAGAGTAGAGAAGTAGCTCCAGAAAGAATGAAGAGACGGAGCTAAAACAAAAACAACGCCCAGTTGTGGATGTGACTGGTGATGGAAGTAAAGTCTGATGCTTTTGTAAAGAACAATATTGCATAGGAACCTGGAATGTTAGGTCCATGAATCAGCGTACGGTCAAACAGGAGATGGCAAGACTGAACATCAACATTTTAGGAAATCTGTGAACTAAAATGGACTGGAATGGACGAATTTAATTCAGATGACCATATCTACTTTTGTGGGCAAGAATCCCTTAGAAGAAATGGAGTAGCCCTCATAGTCAACAAGAGTCCAAAATACAATACTTGGGTGCAGTCTCATAAATGACAGAATGATTTCTGCTCATGTCCGAGGCAAACCATTCAGTATCACAGTAATTCATGTCTGTGCCCAGCCACTAATGCCAAAGAAGCTGAAGTTGAACGGTTCTGTGAGGATCTACAAGACCTTCCAGAACTGACACGAAAATGATGAACTTTTAGGGGACTGGAATGCAAAAGTAGGAAGTCAAGAGCTATCTAGAGTAACAGGCAAGTTTGACTTCAGAGTGCAAAATGAAGCAGGGCAAAGGCTGACAGAGTTTTGCCAAGAGAACACACTGGTGTTAGTAAACACTCTTCCTCCAACAACACAAGAGATGACTCTACACATGGATATCACCAGATAGTCAATACCGAAATCAGATTGATTATATTCTTTGCAGCGGAAGATAGAGAAGCTCTGTACAGTCAGCAAAGACGAGACTGGGAACTGATTGTGGCTCAGATCATGAACTCCTTATTGCCAAATTCACACTTAAATTGAAGACAGTAGGGAAAACCACTGGACCATTCAGATATGACCTAAACCAAATCCCTTAGGATTATACAGTGGAAGTGACAAAGAGATTCAAGGGATTGAATCTGATAGAGTGCCTAAGAGCAATCGGCAGAGGTTCGTGACATTGTGCAGAAGTGACAAAGATTCAAGGGATTAGATCTGATAGAGTGCCTAAGATCTATGGACAGAGGTTTGTGACATTGTACAGAAGTTGGTGATCAAAACATCCCCAAGAAAAAATGCAAAAAGGCAAAATGGTTCTCTGAGGACCTCTTAGAAATAGCTGAGAAGAGAAGTGACAGGCAAAGGAGAAAAAGGAAAGCTATATCCATCTGAATACAGAGTTCCAAAGAATAGCAAGGAGAGGTAAGAAAGCCTTCCTCATTGATCAATGCAAAGAAATGGAAGGAAACAATAGAATGGTAAAGAGTAGAGATCTCTTCAAAAAAGTAGAGATATCAAGGAAACATTTTATGCAAAGATGGCACAATATATGCCAGCAAATTTGGAAAACTTGGCAGTGGCCGCAGGACTGGAAAAGGTCAATTTCCATTCCAATTCCAAAGAAAGGCAATAGCAAAGAATGTTCAAACTACCACTCAGGTGTACTCATCTCACATGCTAGCGAAGTAATGCTCAAAATTCTCCAAACTAGCCTTCAACAGTTGGTGAACTGAAAACTTCCAGATGTTCAAGCTGAATTTAGAAAAGGCAGAGGAACCAGAGATCAAATTGCTGATATCCATTGGATCATATAAAAAACAAGAGAATTCCAGAAAAACATCTACTTCTGCTTTCTTGACTATGCCAAAGCATTTGACTGTGTGGATCACAACTGACTGGAAAAGTCGTCCAAAATATGGGAATACCAGACCACCTTACGTGCCTCCTGAGAAATCTGTATGGTAGGTTCAAGAAGCAACAGTTGGAACCAGACATGAAACAATGGACTGTTTTCAGATTGGGAAAGGAGTATGTCAAGTCTGTATGTTGTCACCCTGCTTGTTTAACTTATAAGAGTACATTTCACAGAGTACATCATGTGAAATGCCAGACTGGATGAAGCACAAGCTAGAATCAAGATTGCCAGAAGAAATATCAATAACCTCAGATATGCAGATGACACCACCCTTATGGAAGAAAGTGACGAGGAACTAAAGAGCCTCTGGATGAAAGTAAGAGAGGAGAGTGAATAAGCTGGCTTAAAACTCAACATTGAAAATACTAAGATCATGGCATCCAGTCCTGTCACTTCATGACAAAAAGATGGGGAAACAATGGAATCAGTGGCTGACTTTGTTTTCTTGGGCTCCAAAATCACTGCAGATGGTGACTGCAGCCATGAAATTAAAAGACGCTTGCTCCTTGGAAGAAAAGCTAGGACCAACCTAGACAGCATATTAAAAAGCAGAGATTTTACTTTGCTGACAAAAGTCTGTCTAGTCAAAGGTGTGGTTTTTCCAGTAGTCATGTATGGATGTGAGAGTTGAACTATAAAGAAAGCTGAGCGTTGAAGAATTGATGTTTTGAACTGTGGTGCTGGAGAAGATTCTTGAGTCCCTTGGACTGCAAGGATCTAACCAGTCAATCCTAAAGGAGATCAGTCCAGAATACTCATTGGAAGGACTGATGCTGAAGCTCCAGTACTTTGGCCATCTGATGTGAAGAACTGACTCCTTGGAAAAGACCCTGATGCTGGGAAAGATAGAAGGCAGGAGAATGGGTCACCAGAGGATGAGATGGTTGGATGGCATCAGTTACTCGATGGACATGAGTTTGAGCAATCTCCTGGAGTTGGTGATGGACAGGGAAGCTTGGCCGTGGGGTCACAGAGTCCACTGAACTGACTGAAAGGTACATTGCCTCTGAGGGAAATTGGGAAAGAACACACTTTTGGTTAAAACAAGTTTCATAGTGTTCTAGACTGTGTATGGAGGAAGAGCCCTTTTTTGGGAGTGAGATGGTGGTTGGATGCATGGCAGGTGAGTGAGAATAGATGCAGGTTAATCTCAGCTGATGGAAGGTTTGGAGGGGGGAGTTGCACCAGGGCCCTTCCTCTGCACTGATGCTCTTCTCTCTTCATTGACTTCATAGATAAAGAAGGTTTACTAATAGAGTGTTATTTTTGTAGAGTTTTTAGACTCCCAAGGTGTGAGAGAACATGTTTTCCAGTGATTTCCCCATACTTTTTTTTTTATAGAAATGAGTTAATTTCTGTGGCAAGAGCTTTGTATCTAATTTTCACATCAGCTACTCTTTGCTTCATTTGATAGAAAGTTAACTCTTTGGTTAAGTCTGATTTTTATGGTCGAGTCATTTTTAGACCCAGGTGTTTCTGAATATAGAATCCATTTTATGAAGTTATATTGCTTGTTTGTCCAAATAAAACCTTACGTTGTTGGCTCCTCATAGCAGTTAGACTGTTGACTAGTCTCTGTTCTTACTGGGCTGTGAACAGGATCTTACGATGCTGTTGTCGGGTTTTACGCTGCATTCTTTGATTCTTGCTCACAAATTCATAAGCAGTTCTCAGTCATCCTCATTCTGTGCTTTCGTAGAATACCACCAGTAAAACCTGAGCCATTTGGAAGTTGAAATGTATGAGTTTTAACTTTTTTTGAACTCTTACTGGTAACTCTTTGGGGAAATTGTTTTTAAAAGCTGTAAAACAGCAGGCTGTTAAGACTCTTTCATGGCAAAGAATGCCTTATTTAAATAAAATCATAAGCAGAAGCCTAAAAATAAAAATGTATTAAAACATGACTTGAATTGGATGGTAGGCCAGCTCTTAGGTCCTCCTGTTGGCTCATCCCTTCCCTACTTGAGTCATGTTTTTGTGTGTGTTGTAGATTGCTGTTTTAAAATTTTGAGTTACAGTTGTTAGTTTTCTGTGTAGTTCCTTATTGTTTACTTGTGTTTTGATGAGAGAAGAATTGTGAGTTTTAGCACAAGAGACCTAGTCTTAGAGCTTATAACTTACCTTGTGGTATTCTAAGAGCACAGTGAAATATGGCTGCACATGGCATGCGTGGTTGTGTTGGGTTTACAGTTGATCATAACATTGTCACTTCAGATCCTGTAAGCAGATGGCTTGTAGTTTCTTGCATTATAAACCTTTCAAATTGTCTTTAAAAGTAAGTGGACATTTGATCTTATATAAAATAGCATTCTTTTGTACATATTTTGGACTTACATTGAAAACTGCTTGTTTTCTGTCACATGTGTGTATGTGAAAATATATGTGTCCACAGTGGCAACCATGGACCTCTTGGTCTGCCTCTGTAAGGTACCATCTCTTTGAAGCCCACTCCAGTTAAACTGCATATGGGCCATAGCTCTTCCTCTGCTTTTGTGATTGAATTTTAAGCAGCTGTATTTGGATGATGTGGTGTAATATATTTATTTTTATTGATACAGAAGTAATAGTAAATCAGGAAATTGGAAAGAAAATGGGGCTTAAAATCAGGAGAACTAGTTTCTTAAGCTGGTTTGCTTAAGTAATTGTTTGGCCCTGGGCCATTTTATGAAGAAATTGGATCTAAGCCTCAAAACTTTCTTCTAACCACATGACCTTTGGGAACTCATTCGATTCCTCTTCTTTAAATCTCCGTATTTTATATTGTTCAAGATTACTAACTAGACTTGGAGGGATCTGAGGATTTAGGCCCTAGATGACAATAGTCTACATAATTAAGTGTGGCTGTATCGCTAATACTAATCTTATTGTGAACATTTACGACAATTCTTACCTTTAAAAAAATCACTGAACAGAAATAATTGGGAAGTTTTCACTGGCAGAACTTTTGCTCTTATCTGGTTTTCACTGCTGTTTGTCTATGTGGTAGAAGCCTGTCTCACCAGATTTTGACATTCCAGGTTAGTACTCCAGTAGTTAAGCAAGGACCAGTTTCACAGTCGGCCACACAGCAGCCTGTAACTGCTGACAAGCAGCAAGGTCATGAACCTGTCTCTCCTCGAAGTCTTCAGCGCTCAAAGTAAGTTGATGTTGTGTGTTGGGACAACACTTTTTTCCTTATTACCATATTACTTGGATATTATATATGTATAGTAGAACTTGATCTTGGAAGAATCCATGGATACCATAACATAGTTTTGTGTATTATAAAATTTACAAAGACAAATCTTACTAGATTGTCTCCAGTAGTGAATCCTGAGTTATTTTGAAGAAAGTGGCTCTCTCTTTAGAGTTTTGCTTGATGGAATACAATGGGAGTAACTATATATATGACACTTCACTTGTAGAGGCACACGATTTTATACTACTTCATTCATTGGAAACGGTAACTTCCCAATAGCAGTTTTAGATTTGAGTTTATTGATAAAGCCGAAAAATCCTCACATCTGAAACTTGGGTCAGTATTTTCCAGCTGATGTGTGTCAGGCCTTCCCAATAGCCTCAACTCTGATCCTTTAGTCTTTAGTGGCTGCAATATAATTTTAAATATCCTCAGTGATGAAAACTTCATCTTTTGGGAGACTTCATTTTTGGAAATAACTGAAATTCATTCAGAGCAAAGTCTGGTGTGAGGCAGCTAGGAAGTCAGCTTGGGGTATTACATTCTTGATTCTCACCACCACATCCCCAAATCCTGGCCCAAACCATACAGGTGAAAAGCAACCTCATAGTGTTCCCCATTTTTGGTCTTATTTTCCCACTGAACTCATTCATTGTGAGGCAGTTACACTGTCTGTTTTGCTTCACATTATTTCACCCTCTGATTACTCACTTTACTCTGATTTTAAACAGTCAAAAAAACTGTACTTTTCACCCTCCATGTCTTCATATATTTAAGATATATTGATGTGCCTTATATCTACAACTGTTTGAATGTGACCATTGCTTAGTCACATCCTCATTAGTGTTTGTAGTATACAAAGTCACAGGTTCCACTGTCAAGTTTGGGTGAGTACAGATATTTTAAATTCAGCCCTGACATTACTGTTCAGAGGGCTCTTTTAACCTCCAGACGTGTATTAGGAATATGATATAAGTATTCTTTAATAACTTATTAAAATAATAAGTTTTTCTTAGAAATTTGGGTATCTTTAAGTTAATGAAAGGTATTGGCAGGCAATGTTTAGGATACCTAGAAGGATACCACTTTTAACCATGCCCCGCGTTTGGTTATCTTTTCTCGTAGTAGCCAGAGAAGTCCGTCACCTGGCCCAAATCACACGTCTAGTAGTAATGCATCAAATACAGCAGTTGTACCACAGAACTCCTCTGCCCGACCTCCGTGTTCACTAACACCGACGCTCGCAGCACACTTCAATGAAAATCTCATCAAGCACGTTCAAGGATGGCCTGCAGATCATGCGGAGAAGCAGGTACATCACACAGTCACAGCAGCTGTTCTGCCTGTGATTTGCTGGCAGCTCAATTCCACTGTGAGAAAATCTAACCCGGACCCTGTGGATTCAAGCAGTCTTTAAGACAACTAATTTCTCATTAGATTGTGTGTGGTCACTTTGTAAAATATTTGATATGTACTTATAGGATACTTGTGAGATAACTTTGTGGTTTCACATATTTTAATTATCATTGTAGCTCCCATTATCAAGTGCTCAGCGTTTAGCTCTGTGCTAAATGCTTTATGTTTATTTTTTCCATTTTCTAAAACTACTGACCAGTTCAGATCATGAGTTCATTTTACTAAAGAGGCCCTTAAGACCAAATAATCTGTACCAAGGTCACTCAGTTACTAGAGTGATACAACTCAAAGCCAGCGTGCTTTTCCTACTCAGCCAGCCACTCTGATCCTTTTAGTACAGTTGACCCTTGAACAACTTGGGTAGGGGAGGCTGAGTCTCCACAGTCAAAAATCCAGGTATGGTTTATAGTCAGCTCTCCATATCCACAGTCCCTCACCCCCAGATCAGCCAACCGTGGATCGTGTAGCACAGCAGTGTTTATTATTGGAAAAAATCCATGTGTAAGTGGGCCTGCCTGCACAGTGCAAAACCTCTGTTGTTCAAGGTTCGACTAACCACTGAGAGTTAGAAAACACTTGTAGGGATGAAGGACCAACCCTAGCACTTTCCAGTTATTGCCACTGGCTATGTTTCATTTTATCAGATGACTGACCATCTAAAATGTTCTGTAAGTTTATGGTCATGCATTGTATATCTCTCGATACGGGGATACAGTAAGGCCCTTTTATCAGTGTTATACCTGAATTTCACTTTGGCTGATCCAGCATTTTTTATTAACCACAGATCATGAATCCTTCTATATCTTAGTGCTGTACTACCATGAGACTGAAAATACTGTCTTCTCAAGAAGCCTGAGGGGGGAATTCTTAAAGGAATACATTTCACCATTAGAGATGGTTTAAAAAAAAAAAAATCATTCCCCGCCCCCTCCCCTCAGATTCATGAGCATTTTTGTGAATTTAAAAGATTTATTCTATAATCTTGATAGAAAGTTACACTCTTTATTTTTTTATGTGAATGTGGCTTACATTTCATGAGATTTTCATTTCTTTTATAGGCATCAAGATTGCGAGAAGAAGCCCATAACATGGGAAGCGTTCATATGTCAGAAATTTGTACTGAATTAAAAAATTTAAGATCTTTAGTCCGAGTATGTGAAATTCAAGCAACTTTGCGAGAGCAAAGGTAAGCTTTTCACTGAAGTAAATTTAATTTAAAGTTCTGTTTGATATATCACATTCCATAATACTGTGAACTATTTCATAGTTTAGTAATGTTCCTGATGAACGGTAATGGCATCTAGATTTTTTTTCTATTAACCCGTGATATAAATGCTTTATTATTAAAGTTTTTTTCTTGGATAATGACTACATAAGGTACTTGCAGTGTTTTATTTAAAAAGCAAGATGTTTTAAAAAAAAAGATGTTTACAGCGACCAGTTACCAGGAGTCCCCTCTTTGATTGAGAGCAGTGCCCTCTTACTGAGGGTAAATATTTCAGTTGACATTCAAACTACTGATTACATTGTCCTTGAAGCATCAGTAGATCCCTTGGAAATTACATGAAGTTTAGTTTTCTAGGAAGTTTAATGATATATATGTGCTTTCTTTAATTGTTTTCACCTTAACTCTGTCTCGTATTTCTTAATGATACAGTATTTTATTCACGTAGGATTTCTGTATTGTGTTAAATAGTATAGGTTTTTTTTTTTCAATGCCTGTTACAAAATTGAGGCCACACTTTTCAGTGGCTTCACATCCTGTCTGTGTTGAGTCACTGGATCAGACGTAATCTTGTCGTGAAACCACAGATATCAAGTCATGGTTTATGGTAAACTTGGGAAAGTGAGTTTTTACCTAACCTTTCAACGACTAGAAAGTCTGGAAACACTTCTTGAATATCAGTTGGGGATCGCTCCCAAAGGAGTTCTGGCGTATGTAAAACCTTACTTTGGCTTGCTCAACGGAACAGTAGCTTGCAGCTACTGAAGCACAGTCACATGTCACAAACCACGTTTGACCATACAGATAATAAGGAATAATTGTCACAGTTCACAGAAGAGGAATAGTGTTACAAAGTTCATAAAAATCTAGTTAGCTGTGGAGTTTGTGTTTTTGTATTTTGTTTTAAATATGCATGCCAGCTGGACTTTGCGCCATTTTTATGAACCTACATTTATTGAGAATTTTTTTCATAATTATTGAGAAAGGGCTAGAAAACTAGGAAATATTTTAACTTTTGTCATCCCAATACTTTAATATGTCATATTATCAAATGGTTATTTTGTCCTAACGACTGAACAGTTTTAAATTACTTCATCATAGCTAGTAGTTACTCCTTTTTTTTGTAAAGCTATTTTTATAGTTAAAAGTTTGTTTTTTCTGTAAAATTTATAATGACCGCATGGGCTCTAATGCCGTCTTTTATTTTTCAGGATACTATTTTTGAGACAACAAATTAAGGAACTCGAAAAGCTAAAAAATCAGAATTCCTTCATGGTGTGAAGATGTGAATAATTGCACATGGTTTGAGAACAGGAACTGTAAATCTGTTGCCCAGTCTTAACATTTTTGAGCTGCATTTAAGTAGACTTTGGACCGTTAAGCTGGGCAAAGGAAATGACAAGGGGTCGGGGTCTGTGAGATTCAATTCAGGGGAAAGATACAAGATTGATTTGTAAAACCCTTGAAATGTAGATTTCTTGTAGATGTATTCTTCACGTTGTAAATATGTTTTGTAGAGTGAAGCCATGGGAAGCCATGTGTAACAGAGCTTAGACATCCAAAACTAATCAATGCTGAGGTGGCTAAATACCTAGCCTTTTACATGTAAACCTGTCTGCAAAATTAGCTTTTTTAAAGAAAAATTTGGGGGGTTAATTTATCATTCAGAAATCTTGCATTTTCAAAAATTCAGTGCAAGCGCCAGGCGATCTGTGTCTAAGGATGCGATTTTGAACCATACGGGCAGTGTACAAAATATCATGAAACAACTGTTTCCACACTTGCACCTGATCAAGAGCAGTGCTTCTCCATTTGTTTTGCAGAGAAATGTTTTTCATTTCCCGTGTGTTCCATTTCCCTCTGAAATCCTTGATCTGATTTTATCCATTTTTTAAGGCTCCTCTTTTTCTCCTTTCTTAAGGCACTGTTGCTATGGCACTTTTCTATAACCTTTTCATTCCTGTGTACAGTAGCTTAAAATTGCAGTGATTGAGCATAACCCACTTGTTTGTATAAATTATTGAAATCCATTTGCACCCTGTAAGAATGGACTTAAAAGTACTGCTGGGCATGTGTGCTGAAAGTACATTGATTGCTCAAATATGAGGAAATGGCCCAATGAACATGGTTGTGGGAGGGAAGAGGAAACAACTCTAGTCAGATGTGAATTGTATCTGTTGTAATAAACATGTTAAAAGAAACAAAAATTGTTATTTTTCTTTACCTTCGGTCAATGCATATTAGAATTTAAACTACCTGGGGATTCTTTATCAGAACTATTCTTGTTGAACATTTATACTTCATTGAAATAATTCCTTAAGGGAGGTTTTGTTTAAACAATATTAACAGGAAAATGTGTATAAGACTATTTAATGAAATAAGAAATTCAACAAGAACCATTAAGTCACTTCCCAAGTGGTTGTCTTTTGTTAAAACCCTGGTTTACCTGTCTTGCTATTATGACATTTCATTTTGAAGGATGTTTGTGTTGTAGCTAACTGTTCAAGTCTGGTGCTGACTGCTGTTCTTAGCCATCACAAAACGCTAAATTTGTGTAATTGGAGCTTCCTGCTGTTACCTGGAGACGGTGGGAAAGCTCAGCTTTGTATATTGTTTCCTAAAGTATATTAAAATAAAAAAAGAAACTATTGCTACTATAAAATTACCTTGGCTTTTTTTTTCTTTGCTAAAATATTGGTCACGTGGCCTTAGCATGACACTGCCAGTATTAAATCAGATCACAAGGGTTTCTTTATGCAGAAAAATCTCCTAATTCAAAATCTTATCCAATTTAGAGACTTTTTTTCCTGTTGAGGCAGATGCATTCATGTGCTTTCAGAACTGCCAGCACCAAGGGCTTATTTTGTGATGTTAGACATTGTTGCTACATTCTGGAATGCAAAAATTCAAAATGCTCTTGTGCTTTAAGCATATTTAAAGTATAGAAGATAATGCTCAGACTTCTCAATACATTTAAAAAGGTAAACTGTGATAGTATGGTTTATATTTTCTAAATACAAAAATATTCCAGTGTAATTAAGAATTACGATCATACTGGAAACTGACTTTTTTTTATTGTAACTTGAGGATAAAATGTAAGAAAAGACAAATGTCATAAATTATATCATCATGAAATGTTAATACCTGTGAGATTGTTAATATTTGCTGGGCTTGATTAGTGCATGTACATGAAACTGAAGAGCTCTGTTAAGTTAGAACCCTTACTGATGTAGTCCTGTCTTTTCTGGAAAGATGATGGGGTAGGCAGATATTTCCCCATCAGATGGCAGCTTGACTTGTGGTTTAAGTAACTTTGAATTTAATTTGTTAATTGTTTATTGATCTGTATCACCTTATTCTTTGGACTTTTAAAAAGTATTTTTATCCCTAAATTAGGAATTGCTCATATATATATATATATACATATATACACACACACACATACAGATATATGTGTATATATATAGGAGATGATGGCCTAATTTGAAATTTCCCAGTGAATTTTTAAAAATTTTGTGGAAATATTTTTACAATATTTGATTCACTTATTCTGTAGTGAATTATTTTAAATACTGCACTTTAATACTAATACAGACTCGGTGTCCAGCTACTAACCTTCTTGAGGTAACCAGGGGATATTTATTAAAATAGATATTATACCCCCCAGAATATTCTTTAGTTGTCCTGTTGGCATGGCTTTGAGCATGTATCTCATTTTGTGGACACCGTGGTTCAGAGAATTTGAGAAGAGAGATACAAATTGCCCCTAGGAAACCTCAGGATTTTATTTTAAAAGGGACATTAGTAGTATTACATTCAAATCTTAAAAAGTGATGTAATAAAATATTCTGTGAAGGTGGGTCTGTTAGAAAGTCTTAGCCTTGAAGAGCCAGCCTCCTGTTTTTCCCTTTGTTTTCTGCTTAACTAATTTGACTAACCTTTAATTTGGTAACTTGGGCTGTACCGCCAGACTTGAAGCACACTGAAAACTCTTGTCAGCCTTTTTTTTTAAAGACATTATGCTGCTTTAATAGCCCAAATGAGTGGTTTTTATCTTCCAGATTTTATATATCTGCTTCATAATTGTAAAATCTTGGAAAGGAGGTGCTTAACACTTTGCAAAGAATTAATTGTTAACCCATGTCAGAAATAATCTGTTCTCTTTAAACACGACCTTTAAGGGATTATTTCAAAGGGGAGGGGGCAGGGGGCGAAGTCATTCACTGCAAACCAGAACTATTGTAGTTCAGGACTTAAAGCTACTGTATTTAGATGTGGGGTTTGAATATACGGATTTCTTTTCAATAACTGTAAATATGGCTATATTCTTGTATTTGTACTGGAGTGTACAAAATGACACTGAAAAGTAATAAATATGTTTTGACTATATTGTGCAGTTATTTCAGAACAGTCTGTTTTGAAAGTCTAAGTGCATAAATTACGCACTTGAGGAAAAATACTTAAAATACCAGGTTACTACAAAATTTTTAATAGCGGTTGTGTTCCAGTCGTGTTTCATATAATTTCTTAATCATTATTTTAATGAAAAATTTGGCTTAAAGTTGGGATTCTTTAGATCCTGTTCTGATTTGCTGTACCCTATTCCCTGATTGTGAACTTGGGGAGTGCCCTCAAAATGCAGTCCACCTGGAGAATCCCACTCTTTGGTCGATTTCACCCAGATTATTTCCAGCCCTTGGCTCTTCTTGAGCTCCCAACAAGTGAGTTTAATTCTTGCCCTAACATGGCAAATTTTTATAAAAGACAGGGTGGGGGAGAGGAGATCTTTCATCCTCCACTCTCCCCATTCTCAGTAGCTGACAGCAAGGTTTCAAGATCCAAATATTTTTGCCCTAATAGCATGTGCTTACCCATCACCAAGAACCACAAGGTCTGCCTTCACAGTGTGCTTGACACCTGAGAGCTCCCTACCCCGAGGTTTCCCACTCTATCTAGCCCAGTCCTCAGTCCTCTAGGCCAGAGGCCACCGCACTCTCCTGCCTTTTCATCTTGCTTCTAATGCCGGCCACACACACACACATGCACAGGCTGTCACAGTCAGGACAAAATCCAAAACTCCTTTGGCTTACATGTTCAAACCCCAGAATATCACCATGATCTCATGTGAGGTTTCTCTGCTGTTTCTCCCTTGTTGGCTGCAGTGCCCCTTCCCCCCCCCCCCCCCCGCCCCCGTGGTTTTCTCTTCCTCTGTCCACGAAGCCCTGATCCCAGAGGTCAGTATAGCTGGCCGCCCAGTCAATCTCATCTCAGAGGCCTGTCCTGACCACCTCCCACCCCTCCCACCCCATCCAAATCAGTATCCCTAAGCCTGCATGTTGTTTTCTTCGAGAGTGTCTTATACAGAGTAAAGCACTCCATAAGTTATTTGTTGAATGAATTAAGAGTGTTAAAGGGCTATGGACAGGGTGAATTTAAGAAGACAAGATTACTGAGTTTTTTTCTTCAAGTTGTGATTTTGATCCTCACCTTGAGAGACAAGACCAGCAACTAGCTTTTTTTCTTCTTTTCTAAGAAATCACTATTGACTTGGTTATCAAGACCTAACTCCAAACCCATCTTAATTGCTAGTGTTATGAAATGTCTCTCAGATGATCAGTCAACTGAGTAAAATCAGAGCCTCCTGTAAATACATTTGAGGAGTAAAAAATCCCCTGAGAAGCAAGGTGCTGTTTCTGATGTGATAAGCATAGAGAGATGACTGGCAGGAACTGTCTCTGCTGCAGGGCATGACTGCATGACTGATGGGGTTGGGGACTGGGTCCAGGTTTCACAAGGTAGGAAGCCTTGATGGGTCCATTTAGATGATGCCTTGACTTCCACCTAGATGCTTGTAATTTTTAGGATGGGTGTAGACCTACTATGTTCTAAGATGTGTCACTGGTAGAAAAACGTCTATCCTGGAGGACCCTGATGCTGGGAAAGATTGAGGGTAAGAGGAGAAGGAGACAATAGAGGATGAGATGGTTGGATAGCATCACCGATTCATAAAAGAGGAGTCTGAGCAAACTTTCGGAGATTGTGAAGGACAGGGAAGCCTGGTGTGCTGCAGTCCACAGGTTGTAAAGAGTCAGACATGACTTAGCAACTATACAACAATCCTAGAGGCAAACAACTGGAATGTGAGAGTTCCCTGCTTTTGTGACTGGGTGTACTTCATAAGGGCTTCCCAGGTGGTGATAGTGGTAAAGAGCACAGCTGCCAGGGCAGGAGACACGGGTTCCATCCCTGGGTTGGGAAGATCCCCTGGACATGGCAACCCA